TCAAAGTGAGGTTTTCAATTGCTTTTGGTGGTGTCGTCGGGGTACAGAAACTGTCGAACTCATACATGAACACATAGTTTGCCCACTTTTGAGTCGATACATGTTGTGGGGAAAATTCCTCCAACCAACCCGATATGGATTTTAACTGCCGGAAAGACGAGTCATATATATTACTTGCAATAACATCGAGGTTGACAGAATCCAGCTGTTGTAGCAGATCTGGGAATGGATCTGTAGTAGTTATGAAGTCTAACTTTATGGGACTCCTAATACTGATCAGCAATACATTGGTCACCTGGTGCTTATCAACTTACCTTATAGACAGGTACATCTGTGGCACACTTCCTAAAAGATATATCTTACCCACAGAGAGCGCCAGACTATTTCGTAAAAAGTGGTTGAAATAGAATTCATGTGCCCGAGAAGCATCATTGAGGAAATCAATGAAAGTTGCGTGGTGTACACCAATGGAGTCAGTTAGAAAGGCAGGCACAATAAGGACTGATTTCAACCTCTGCAGCACAAACATTATGTCTTCCCAAGTCTGTTCCAAAAGCTGGGCCAGAATGTCAACTGACAGACCAAAGCCACCACAAAGCTGGGATCCAGCTGCAATGGCAGATAGAATTTGCAGCAAAAGAGGTTGCAGGTCACTTCCCACACCAGCGAGAATTCCAAGGTAGAGTTGATCCAAGGCAATATATGGTGATATTGAGTTGGGATGTGGCTTCTCCGCTGTCAGAATTCTGTCCAAACGCTTCTGTGGACTTGAATCGGCATCTTCAACAAACCGGATAACTGTAGAAGCATAGATGAAATGGCCACCTGACTTGCTGACCAGATGATCCAAGATTGTCGTACTGGGCCAAATTGTTGGAAGGCTGCTCCCCAAATCATGGTTTTTTTGTATGCGTTGAAATTCATCAACAAGATACAGTCGAACATCATCCAGCGAGGCTTTGATTTCAAGAGAGCTTGCTCCCTGCAGTTTGAATTCTTGGCCAAATGTCTTGACAATGTGAGGCTCTGGTCGACTAGCAACCAAGATTTTGAGGGGTGCAGGGATTTTGGCAATACATTGTAGAATTTTTGCATGAGCTGATTGGCTATTGACACATTCATCAAGACCGTCGATGACAATGACCAAAGGCTCAGTCAGCTGTGCATCATAACATGGCTCAATTATCAACCTCTCAATCTGAGCTTCCAGTGTTTTGCTGAGAATATCGTCTCTGAAGGCTGCACAAATGAGAACCTTGAGCTTTGGCGAGGCACAGGCCAGATGATATGCAAGAGTAGGAAACAACTTGCGGGCATCTGCACGAGCAGCATGCCCTCTTCGAAAGAAAAAGCTCCCGCCAAGGTGTTTGTTCTGAGCCAGCTGTTGGCAGAATGACTGTGCAATAGCAGACTTTCCCGTGCCTGCAGGACCATGCATCCAGAGAAGCCTAGTGTCTTCACTAGACCAGCTCTTAAGGAAGGAGAGATAGTCAGAGCGGGTGTCGGGGTGACAGGGCGGGTGAGTGTAACTGTCACCAGAGTCATATGAAGCATCAAGAACTGAAGCTTGACACAGATTTCGTAGAGCTATAGAACGTATCAGAAGACGTAATCAAGCTGTTGAGACTTACTATCATCGATCTTTTGATTATTATCGTCAATCTTTCAATGAAAACATTAATCATTGACACAAACTCCTGAATTCAAGCACATCATACCTGAATCTGATGTATTTTCTCCTCAATTGCCAACAGTGTCTCTTGCTGGTGTCCCATTAGCAAACAATGGACAAGAGGCTTTGCAACAGTACCTGGAACATGACAAAATAGTCATCAATCCTGACAATGGTGTCCTTGATCTCGTTGATATCCAGTTTCCTCTTGATAATTCGTTTGATGCGACTTCTCTTTGCAAGCGCTTCAAGTTTTTCGAGCTCTTGTTTCAAATGCCTGTTGAGTCTCAGCATGATTTCGGGCTGAAAGGGGAAGCTTCGCACTTATGAAGCATCTCTACCCGATGTTTTCCTTCCAATTCGGTTCTGCGCGACAATGAACGGTTGGCGCTGTTGATATGGCCCGTGAGCTTTTGGATCAGAGTCTGAATGTCGCTGCTGTTCTTCGAGACAATCTGCAATTCGACTTGAGCGGCGGATTGACTTGGGCTAAGCCTATAGTAGCCACTCACAGATGCCAAATCTATCACACTGGACACCACAGCAAGAGGGATTTGGAAGACTGTGCCTTCCACAAATGGTTCCATTGCTGTGATTGCGACTTCCAAGCCTTCTTTGAGCGCAGTCAGATATTCCGGAATTTTTGACTCGGACGAGTCAAGATTGGGAGATGGCCCCGATGAAGTGCCTTTGTTCGAGGCAACCGTGGTGGTGGGGGATGATATGGACTTTCCTGGCGCCAGTGAGATTAATCTTTTGAAGTTGGGCATCTTGGGATACAGGAATGCACAGCGATTGGGAGGATGGGGGCGTGGAGAGTGGTCAGAAGCAAGACGGACACGAGGCAGCCGCGTCGGCTATTCAGTGTTGTGTCTTGGTTGTGTCAGAACATCAGTTCGAACTCACAACCATCCGTCGCAATTTTCTGGTCCAAATTTGCAATCTCGCCTGTACTGTTGGTGTCGGTGAGGAGGCGAAATAGCAGATCGATATGAAAGCGAGAGATTCAAAGAGAACGCGAATGTTTGTTAACGTTGTATGCCGTTGTTTGCATCCACCGGCGATTGCCGACGTCAAGCGCCTCTGTCGCCATGAACCACCGCCTGCTAGCACCTCGCCACGACCAGCGAGCAAGTGCCGCGTATCCGGACATACTTTGCCGACGATCACGTCCACAACAACCTCTTCGTTCTTAGCGGCAGCCCCGGACCAAAATTCGTAATTATAACGAAAAAAGAAAAGAACCAGACAGAAAACGCAATCGACCCTTGCCTAGGTCTCCCCAGCAACAATTTTATCCGGATTCACGGCCGAATACGTGGATTTTCTTGCGAATGGCTTCCACGGCCCAGGAGAATTCGCTATACCGATAACGTCTACAGCAGCCTCAGCAATGCCACTCTCACCAGCAACAAGCTTACCCACCGCAGCAGCTCCGCTCACTCATATCCCTCCCACGCCGGTCCGACTACGTTGACACCAAGTCGTTTTCAAAGCCCTTTCACAGTCCCAAAACCGGTTTTCGCTCTTTTTGCCTCCGCCTTCCGCTATTCGACGATTACCTCTACGTGCCGCCACTAAAAGATTGGCCAGAAGCGACATCTCAAGCCGCGTTCCCTGTCCTTCTCGTGTGCCTTCGTTCGCCAACCCATCCATACCAACGACTTCTCTCTGCATTCCCCACATTCGACGCGACTATCACGACAGCCACAGACGCGGGGATGAGCAGCTATGGCATCTGAGTGTACGTCCCCTTTCTCTCTCCCTTCCCTTGCTAACCGTTGCATTAGTGACGATGCCTTTGCTTCCCCCACCTCCCGCCTCCCTCGTCGCCGCCTCCATCGCTCTCAAGCTATAGTACTAGTAGCGCTCTACGTCATCACCTTTGATCACCTTGCCGACCTGCGTCTCCCTGTCTCCACTCTCCTTCCGTTCTCGATGTCGGCTCTCACAGTAAGTGCCGATTCATCGAAACGAAAATGAGTCAAAGACTTACCCTCCGCCAGGTCGAATCCAACCAAGTCGCCGCACTCGCTTGCACTATACGGAGATAGACAGATATCACACCCCTTCCGCCGTTTGCCACCGACTTTCGACCTCACTCTTCCGCCTCCGACCCGTCCCGCCGCCTTCTTCCCATTCCATGACTATTATAACGAACGCTACGTGTACTCTGCTTGAAGGATGCGAAATATAGGCAGCAGCCAACTCTCAAGATGCACCATCTCTCGGCGTCCTCTCTGCCACCTTCCCGCCCCCGAGCACTCATCCCCGCGCCCACTTCCATCTCACCGCTGCCGCCTCGGCTTGACCACCCTCTCTGACTATCTCTTCCGCTACCTTGGCTCAGCGTTCGTCCCTTCTCGCCAGTCCCCGCGTCCTCGCTACCTTTTGGTAACTTTCAATTCATGGAGAGGGAACACCGAATCAAATACTAACCTTGCGCGCAGGTCGACAGCCTCATTGTGGCTCCGCGGTCCCAGCGCCCTCGCAACTCCTCCGCCCCGCCCCCGCTGTCTTCACTCTCCGCCGCCAAATCGCCCGACCTCAACAACATCTCCCTCCCTCCCCTCCGTCATCTTGCAAGGCACTGTATTCCGCATCTTATCCTCTTATCGCATCTACTTGTACAATCTCCTCGCTTTCGTTCCGAACACTTTCGCTTCCACGTTTATCGTTTGCTATCGCCCGACCAGCTATAGATCAAGACAACTACGCGCCCCCGGTGTTCTTTCCCTCCAAAACAAGTGCTTCCTTCCCCCGCCTACCCTGTTCGGCCACCTCTCAATCTGCCTCGTCGTATTACCTACCACGCATATCGACTCGCTTCAGCTGCGACCCCCGCGCAGCTCTTGTCTCAACTCAATCCCATCAATCCTCTGCATACACCCGCTCAACATCAAACCACCGCTTCCCATACTTGCTTCCTGCCCGACGATCACTTTCATCGCTCTTCTACTTCCATCGTCATGTGTCCCCGCAATACAATGAAATATACATATGTAAGCTACGTCCGTTGCTATCGTCAATATCCTCTGTCATCCCGCTAACCAAGCCCTCGTATCAGGCGCCATCCCGCGTCCCGCTAACCGCTACCGTCATGGCTCGCAACCGGCGATACTTACCACTCGCAAATGTAGATGGGGAGTGTATGGCGCAATAACGAAGTCAAGTACATCTCCTACATTTTAATCGTTACTATTTGCTGAATCCATGTCCTTTGCGCTAAACAGTAGTCTGAACTGCAGAAGGAGGCCGAACCAAAACGGGCAAGCGATGTCGCGGAAACGAGTATCCTCGCATGCCTACATTTTGACATACTCCCAATGCATTAATGGGGTAGTGGTAACCTGGGTCGTTGCCATATAGTGGCATACGGTGAATTCGACCCGCCGGGGGTTCGATTCCCCCTTAATGCACTCCAGTGCAAAGATTGCACCTGTTTTTGCCACCCGTCTAGACTAGACCCGTCTTCGATCAACATTCCCTGCCGGATCCACCGACGAGGACGAGAGCGTTGCCACAAACCACGGTGCTCGTTTTTGTTAACATCCATTGGTATTCAACCCAATAATCACTTGCCGGAAGTATCAAAGAGTTTTTGTCTTGCTTTGGCAGTGAACCTTGCTAGGAGTTAATACAGGCCTATACAGGGCGGCCCCAGGCATACGCTGGGGAGTTATGTCGGAGCCTGGTATTGTGCGTGAAAACCACCCCACCCCTCTATGCATCTTAAGCGCACAGGCGCCACCCCTCCACCGCCCCCGCTCCTCCCCCTTGAATAAACAATCCCCGAGATGCCCGAATTTCAACCAAAAACGGTCGATAAGTTAAAATTCACGTTTCAATTCCACCAATGGATCAGCAGAACTGAATGCGGTGAGACCCAGAGTGATATAGTGGAATATCTACAACCAGAATCGGCACTCGCTATATACAACTTTTGACAGTCACCCAAAGTTGTATGTCTTTTAGGGGCTCCTTTGCTTCAAGCCAGCCATGTCTTCACGTAGTCGTACGAGTCCTGGATTCCATGAGGTCCCTACACTATCTTCTCCATTCCAATTCCATAGACTCATTGATATTCTCCAGCAGCGGCAAGGATATCCTCTCTACACCCCTGAAATCGACGAAGTGGTTTCGCGCGCCTTTCTAGGGCAGGAAACCTCTCGTGACGGCCGCAAATCTGCGTTCCGGAAAACAATTGACGCGGAACGCGAGGTCGATATTGAGGGTAGTGTCGAGCGCGCTCTGCAGAGCTTCCAAGCGAGGGGAGATGCTCTTTACTCAGGTTTGATTTTCGGCGTACGTGCACGACTCTTCTCTCATTCGACAATGAAAATTAAGTATTAACGAAAAGAATCTCAGCCCGATATGCCCCCACCAAACGCTACACTCAAGTACACCGACGTCGAGTCAAAGTATAGGCTGTTTTATCACCCAATGTTCCCCATTTTGCCCTACCCCGCCGACGCCCCCTATATCTTCAACGTCTACATCGGGCGGTATGGCCGCAGCAAAAATTCCATCTTGAACTGGAAGCATGAGCCGATTGTTGTCGAGCAGCAGAATCTCTTTGGAGAGTGGCAGGATATGACCTGCCTTGTCGCGCCTGCGTCTTCGAGGATGAGGATCTCGTTCAGAGAGTCTGAGGCCGACGGGCAGGAAGTTGTTGTTGTTCATGAATTCGTATTCCCGCCTGATCCACGGGAGAACGTTCGAGTTCATCTACTTGTATGATTTTGTAGTAATACAAGATATGATCTTCGAATTCTCCTTCAGGCTCTCTCGCGAAGCACACAACTCACACCACGCGCGTCTACGAGTTTGATGCCCTTTCCGCGTAAGAGTTCGAATAGGGCGACGGATTTGTTTTTAGCAATGTCCCGTCTGAACAACGAAGAAATGAGCGTTTGTTGTCTTGAAAGGAAGAATCACAAGAGAAAGTGCGGAGAAAACATAGTGATCAAATAGACTTACTCGGCAGTCGGCCACTGGATAGCGTCAAGCTGTATCTCCTCCAATGCGGGGAAGTTCACGGGATCAAGCGCTTCGAGCGATTGCTCTAATCTGGGTCCTTGATGGCGGTCTCTATCAGAAATGAAGTCCAAAAATTAGAATCTGAAACAAATATAATCGGAGGGCAATAGGCACAGGCGGCGGATATCGAAATAAACTTTCTTGAGCGCAGCGTGCGTCTTGGAAGAGAAGAAGTCGGGGGGAACCGACTAAGATATTGAAGATGAAGTGCGAATCAGCAGAGAAACGGGAGGGAGCAGAAAAAAAGGAAACATACCCTCCTCTCGACCGGAAGATTTTGAGAAACTGAATGCACGCCCAGCATTTCGAGGTTTGGACAAAGTTCCAATACCTTCGCTTCCATTATGAACTCCATGTTGGTCGCTACTGACAAGAGTTTGTTGCCGTGCTTCTTTACGAAAGTGGCCAGTAGTGGAAAAATTGAGTTTCGGTTGAAATTGAAGACTAGCTTGCTCAGAGCGGGAAGGCTGAGCACAGGTATAGTCAGCTTAGCGCAAAGAAAACAGGGAATTTTGAAGCTACGTACTCGAGAGGTTCGACTAGATTGAGGATTGAAGCTACATTAGACCCTCCCACCTCAAGAACTTTCATATTCTCAAAAGCCCGAAAATCCCAGTCAGGTTTTGTGAACCAGGACTTCCCATCGATCCTCCAACGTAAATATACGAGCGCAGGAAAAGCGGCTAGAACTGTCGGGTTTGCACTAGACACCTTACCCGTAGACTGAGCATAGGAAGTGTCCACGTCTAAATCTTCCAATGTAGACGCGGTAGGGGAGGCGGCAAGCGTCTGTAACGAGACAAGGTCTCCTGCTCTGTTCAAAAATTTCCTCCTTTGTGAAGGTTCACTGTCACCCTCGTGCTCTTCGGATCCGTCCGAGGAGGATGATGGTGAAACTGGCCTCACGCGTACTATGGTGTCGCCCACAATCTGGAAGGGTGAGGGCTTCATTCTGCGAAACGTTAAAGAAAGTCATGGGATCATGACCACGACAACGTACTCAGGAACGTGAAGTTTGCCCAAGAAACTAGATTGGGAAGCGCTGGCAATGAACTCTTCATGACCAGCGTTTGTAGTATATCTAGTTTCGTGACAACGAAGAAGCCTGAATGACGGTGCAGTGAAAAGCTGGTCGAGATGCGTGGGCCATATTCGTCCAATCCCAACATCAACGTATTGAATCGTGGGTGATTTTGCCAGCGCAGCGGCCAGTTGTGCTGCACGTCCAGAGAGGTAGTGAGAGCGATAACCGCCAAGGCCCACATATGGAAAGACAAATGATAGCTGCAACCGATCTTTAACTCTTTTAGACATACAACCTAGAGTTTATTTACCAAAGTGTTCCACTTTGGGACCTGGTCGCACAGCGCATCGAACAGTTGTGTTACCTGTTTGTTCGCTCTTGGTTTTTGAGTCTCAGAGTAGTGATCATCGACCGCATCGTACAGTATGACACGCCGCGGACGAACGATAGCAAGACCATGGGACAGACTGCGCGAATCTTCGGAAGCCGACAGAATCAGAGTGAAATACAAGTCGACAATGTTGGGAGCGGATTTGAAAATGGTGAGCATAGACTTCCCAAACCCGCCCTCGATGCGGAGTCTTTTTATACAGCTCCCCATTTCAGGATTGCTCTTGAGTGCATAAGCAAGAGCTGCAGCCTGCGCTGTGGTACGCAAGATGACCGTATGGTATAGCAGTGGAGTGGCAACCTGGAGCCACTGTTTGGAAACGAGAAGGTAGGATGAAGTCGATGAGGCAGGCCGTAGGATCGGTTTCTCCGAAGTATCTGAGAAGTCCCCGTCGGAATACTTGAGTAAAGGAGACAGGATCTCTAGCAGAATTTCGTGCGGCGCGCCGTCCATGGTGGTCCAGGTCAAGTGGGAGTGTGCGAAAATGCCACTGATGGTACACCTTTGAACTATCTCGGCAAACTCCGACAAAGGTCTTTGTTCGAAAATGGAAGGTTGATTTCAACGAAATCAGGAAGGGTGCCTTTGTCTATATGGGTCGATTACTTATCGGGTCATCCGCCATCCGTTTTGCAGTTACGCACCTCTATCATACTCCAGGTCCAGGTGAAGATCGCGTTGAGACCCTCGCCGAACTTCGAAGTCGTCTTCCAAACCTCAAGAACGTTAGTGTAATCAAAGGTAAAAAAAGAAAAGAGAACCGAGAAAACAAGCGAAAAACGCTTGGATTCACAATGGATTTATCCACTGCTTCCAACGGGCCGAAACAGCCAAATAGGCAGTCTCGTCTCACACAATGCCTATAAAGAGAGCGGAAGTACTTCGACATTCCCCATCATCTTTCGCCTGGACGTGGCACCGGAATTCGGACGACGCTCTTCCGAGAATTCAGTTCATTGTGCATCCCGGGCGAAAAATCGACTCAGCCGCCTCCGAAGCCGGGAATGAGAGCACCCTCATCAGACCTCCTACGACTACCAGATCCAGACAAACGTGCCACCGTTATAACACTCTTGGGCCATTGCGGATGCCCGTGTATGTTCCATAAAATTACGACGCAACAATTAGTGAGCAAACGATACAGTTGCAGAGAAGACGTTCAAAAACTTGCGTGCAATGGCGGAGCGCATGCCAGACATCCACTTCATCGCTGTTTCGCAGAGTGACCAGGCTTCAACTGAAACATGGCTCGTGGCCGTCGGCGGATCCCATCAGGTTCAAATTATCGTTGATGCCGAACGAGAATTGTTTGGACTGTGGGGACTGCAAGTCTCAACCTTCAGCCACTTTCTGAGTCCTGCGGGATTATGGGCGGCATATCGCCTCGGAAAGGACGAGGGAATATGGAACAGGTCGACTCAAAGCGGAAACAGATGGCAGACTTCGGGAAGCTTCGCGGTGGACAGCCAAGGTATTGTCAGATGGGGAGGAGCCATGAAAAGCGCGTCAGAGATTCCAGATTTCCAAGCGGCCATTGAGCAGGTGAAAGCCGCTGAACCGATGACTGAGTCGTAGCCGTAAATCGATCCTTGTGTATTTGAGTTCTACAACCTGGAATATCCTGATTGCAAGTTGGAAAAACATTCGAGATAGATTTCAAGTGAAAGTTGGTTCATTACCAGAGAATCACGTCCTTACTTCCCATCGGACACTAGCTTCGCTAAATCAATCGAGGCTCCTCCACTGTTCAATCCAGCCTGGATGAACGCAACGTCGCCCAAAGCGGTGAGGGGGTCACCAATATCCAGTGTTTCTTTGCCGCGAATCGCGTCAAAGAAGCTCCCGAACTCCGCCTCGACACCTATCTTCGGCTTTTCGATTATTTCTTCCACCTCTTCAGTCGGTTTTCCCTCGACCTTCACTGCCCGTTTAACCAGAATACGTAGAACCTGCCCTGTTCCTTC